ATTATCTTGGCTTGAGGTGGGAAGACCCATTCTAAAAGTGGTGGCTCCATTCCCTAAGCTTGGGGTATAAAAGTATAAAAGGGAAAGTGGCCTGAGGACATTCATCGCTCTCTACTCCCTGACTGGATGCACTGCAACCAGCTGCTTCCGGTTCCTGTTGTCCTGACTTCCTGCTGTGATGGACTGTCCTGTGAACTGTTCCTGTTGTCCTGACTTCCTGCTGTGATGGACTATCCTGTGAACTGTTCCTGTTGTCCTGACTTCCTGTTGTGATGGACTGCACTCTGAACTATATGCTACAACAGACTCTTTTGGATTAGGAAAGCAGCTGAACACTTTAACCAGACTTAATGAGCCATACTATTAGGAATGTTGAAGACAGTGGTGCTGTGTGTAGGCCTGGCTCAGCAGGTTTAAGAGGAGAATTTAATATGTGACCTAGAGGTCATTTTTTGTAGTATTTTGGTGAGGAATGTGGCTATTTTCTTTCCTTGTCTGAAAATTTGCCTGAGGTTAAAATGAAGAGTTATGGATTAATGGCTTTGACAGAGGGGATTTCCAGACAGCCTAGTATTGACTGTGTTGCTTGGTTATCAGTGGCCAATGCTTATGCAGATCAATAATGAAAAAGAGCAAGGAAAAATACAAAATATACAGTTTGAGGAGAAAAGGAGCCTCCAGGAAATGTAAACAGATTAAAGAAAAGCCTGCTACTAAGTGGAATAAAGGGAGTGGTGACCTCATAGAAAGACCCCACCTAGCTAAGTGAAAAGGAATTAAAGAAAAATGAAAAGGGGCAAGGTGGCACACGCCTTTAATCCCTGCACTCAGGAGGCAGAGGCAGGCAAGCCTCTGAGTTCAAGGCCAGCCTGGTCTAAGAGTAAGTTTCTGGACAGCTAGACTTAAGCAATGAAGAAAATCATAAAGCTAGTAATATATACATATATATATGTGTGTGTGTGTGTGTGTGTGTGTGTATGTATATGTGTGTATATATATATATACACACACACACATTTGAACAAGTGGGCAATGTTCCAGCCCCAGAAAACAGCAGAACTTGGCAGCTTTAGCCATGTGGTTCTGGCTTTAGAGTCAAGGATACAAGAAAATGGTTCTGGAATCTCCCTCTGCAACTAAGGAAAGCCACTGTGGCCAATGTGTCAGGGGTGTCCCTGCATGGAGGCCTGGGGAGGCCATTACATAAAGCTGTGAAAGTAAAGCCTAGATTTTGTTGAATACTCCAAGATGTTTGAGATACCAGAGTCATGGGATATCTGCCAAGGAAAGCTACTAACAGGGAGTGGAACCAGCCCAAGAGAAAGAAGTGTGCTGCAGTCAACAAAGCTGGAAGGAGTTGGAGATCTGAAGGGAGCTTGGACATAGTGATGCAGAATTTGGAGTTTGCCCAGATAGTTTTTGGTGTATCTTTGGTCCAGTATTTTCTCACTATGTTCCCTTTTCTCTCTTTTGGACTGGTAATGTATGTCCTATATCATTGTATGTTAGAAATATATGATATGTTTTTTATTTTTATTTTACAAGGGTTACAGTTAAGAGGTTGTCATAAGTCTCTAAAGAAATTTGGGGCTTTGGACTTTTAAACAGATAAAAGATCAGTTGAGACTGATAGGCTATGGGACTTTTGAAATTGGACTGAACGCATTTCTGCATCATGATATGGTTACGAGCCACTGGGGGCCAGGAAGTGGAACGTGGTGGTTTGAAAGAAAATGGCTACCATAGGATCATAGAAAGTGGCACTATTAGGGAGTGTGGCCTTG